GGGGGGGGGCGGTCGCTCCTGGTGTGTAAAAACCCACCGGGAAAGGCGCTGCTCCCGGGAACCGGCCGGGGTCTGTTGTCCGGTCTCGGTTCTCACCTGCTGTGAACGTCTCGTGTGTCAGTCAGAGCCAGAAAGCCGCTTCGCGGGAAGCTGTTTCAGCCTTTGGCTTCAGAAGGAAGGGCAGGTACCCGCTTCTGGCCGGCCGGAGGGCATCCGTCAATTCCGTCGTGTGCTCTCCTGGCCTGAACACTGCAAATCGGTGGTGACCTCTGGCACTGAAGTTTCCTTTGAGGAACGCGCAGTGAAACCAGACACTGCGTCGCGAAGCTGCTGCTGGACTGGTAGCTCTTCACACGGAGCGTGGAAAAACGCTTCGTGTGCAGATCAGCTGGCCTGGGAGGTCCTGGCTGGGGGCTCTGCTTATTGATTACTGGGACGTGGGTCCCTCGAGTCTGCTTGGCATTTGTGGGGTGTTCCAGTTCCAGAAATGTGCTGCTGTTTCTCATATTTTGGGAGCTGCCATGCGGATGAGTTACTGCCTTCACACTTCTTACAGGGCCTGGGTGTAGCGCCTGCTGCCTGCGCGGAGTTGTTTCCTGCGAGGCTGTAAACCCACCCTCAGCAGAGAGGCTTTAAAACTGTGCTGCAGAGGAGGGGGTATCTGATGTACAGAACCAGAGCTGCCTGCAAGGGGAGAGGAGCAGGGCTCATGCTTAGAGTGCCACTTGATACAGGAGCAGCACCCAAATTTGGATGATGGATGCTCGAGTTGCAGCGTTTAAAAATAAGCAGTTTCCGTATTTGAAGCAAATACTCAGAAAGAAATCAGGCTTTTCCCAAAGGTTTCTTGCATTATTTAGGAGCACAAAATCCACTAACCTTTCTTGCCAAGACTGGTTTTGTAAATCTCACCCAGCTGTCAGGGATGGTTGCAGCTCTGTTTAGGTTTACAGTTTTACAGTGATTTTTAGGTCAAGCTCACAATTTTGTTTGTAAGCTCCTTTTACATGCTGAACTTGGTAACGTAAATTGTACTAATAGAGACACTAATGAACACTTTTGTGTTTAGAAGCAAAGCCAAAGAAACCAAAGAAAATATTGTTAAATGTAGGGATTAAAGCCCATACAAAAGGAATTCTGTGATTAATTTTATTTTGCTTGTTTGATTTTTACATATAGGAAAGAAAAGTTGTCTTGCTTAGAGCTGATGTTGTTTGACAGGGAAAAGAGAGGTGCAGCTTTGTAACGTGAAGAGACCCAGTGGAATAACAGGTCACTGGGGTGCATGGTAGTTTGAGCTGCAGTTTGTCGAGGACTTTAGATGGGTGCTGTTCTGAGAGCAGGAGTGTCACCTCCTTCGGCCGGCCGCTCTATCTCTCACTCCACATGTTCGTGGGGTCACATGGTGAACCACATCCAGAATCTGATCTGGCTGAGTTTTTATTTTATTTCTTGGTGCAGTAGTTGTCAGCAGCATACAGAAAAACAGGCTGCATGGCCATCCAGATCTAGGGAGTGGGATTGAGTGCTGGAGGAGTGAGGCTGCTTCCTTCCACAGCAGTTGCGGTTTGTCGCAAATTTAAGACGTTCATGCAACTGCAGCCTGCTTCTGTCTGTAAAGCTGCAGGACATTTCTACAGAAACATTAATTAAATACTGGGATAAAGTATTTTCCATTTTGAAAATGGCAGCTTTAAGCTTCTGACCAGGATTCTCATCTTTCCAGCACCTACTAAGCAGTAGCCTTTCCCTGCGGAATAATTAGGAAAGGACTTCAGCTTCTGAAACACTGTGAAATGGTACCATAGTCCCAGTGGCATTTTCATGTTGTACCTACAAAGGGATTTTGCAGACTTTGCCCCGTGGAGGCTTCCAAGTATTTAATGTTGGAGCATTACCTGTTTTTCAACCTGTAAGAAAAAATAGTAAAATGTTTGTCTGTAAAAGGAAACTAAACATTCAGAGTAAGAATCTGTTCTGAATTGTGATATTCTATTTTACAGTTAACTTTAGTGAGGCTTGGGGTAAGAGAGGATTGGTAAGCTTATATTCTAGTAATTTTTCAGTAATTTGTCTTCAGTTCTGTATCTAATAACTCTTCCATTGTTGCTATTAACAAGCGGTTTTGATGCAGAAGAGGAATTTGTTCTTGTGAAAATTAATCACCTGTGGAAGCAGAAATGGTGAAGAATGAGCTTTATAGTGTGTCTCTTCATGAAAAAAGACTATAAAACTAGACTAGATGCCCCTGCCCAGGTCTGTACTCTACAGCAGAGAATGTTTGCAGATGCCATGAGTTTGAGTAAAGTGATGAACAGCACCTCAGAACAAACAAGTTTGCAAAGGATATCCTAAGCCATTACCTGTGACTTGTGCAAGGGTGTAGTTTACAGAGTGATGCTAAAAATGGCATACTACTGTGTTCGCTTAAGGGGCTTGCTTAAGGAAAAAATAAACTTGTTTACAAAGGATGTATTTTGCATTGTAGCCCAGGACACATAGCCTGGATTGAAATTTCAATGGGATTATTCCCTCTTGGTAGCTTGGCCTTCACCCCTAACCAACATTATAAACTCCCATGGGAGTCAAAAGGAAACAAACTGTTGATGAGTCTTCAGCAGTGCCTTTGCTTGTACCAGACTTGCAAAGATACAAAAGGTCTTGTCATTTATCCTCACAGACAATCAGAATCAATCTCTTCAGTCAGTGACCTCCACAAAAATAAACTGAAATTAAGCACAAAACACTGTGGTTCTGGTGCAGAACAGAGCACCGTAGTTGGAGAGATTAATTCTGACATTGCTTAAAGGCAGGATTGTCCTTAAATTTTAGCAATTAGATTTGAGGTAATCCTAGTAACCATAATCTCAGTAATCTGAAGTCCAGTGCAGAATCAGTGCTACAGCAACCTATTTCTAGTTGTCATTTCTGCTCTGGTTTGACAGTGAGATCACGAGTTCCATTCTTGATGACACTCAGCAGTTGAGTGAATCATGTTTTACTGTTTTCATGCAAAAGGTTATCTTGTTCTAATTTCTCTTTTAAATTTTAGTTGTTGACCTCCTTTACTGGCGAGACATTAAGAAGACAGGAGTGGTGTTTGGTGCCAGCTTGTTCCTGCTGCTTTCATTAACAGTGTTCAGCATCGTGAGCGTGGTAGCTTACATCGCCTTGGCCCTGCTTTCCGTGACCATCAGCTTTAGGATATACAAGGGAGTTATCCAGGCAATCCAAAAGTCTGATGAAGGCCACCCATTTAGGTGAGATTTTTTTCTTCTTTAATTACAAAGTGTGTTGTTTTGGGGCACAGCAGTACTGGTGCTGTTAGAGGCAGGAGGTGACGTACGCTGTAATGTGTTGCATAAGATTATAAATGGTTTCTGCAGTGAGAAATCTGCCTACACAGCAATAAAGGAAATGAAGTGAACACGTGGTACAGGGGATTTTCCTGGGAGTGCTAGAGTATCCTAAATTACATTTAAAAAAATAATAAAAAATTATATACTTCAATCTAATGGAATAATACATACATTTTTAGAACGGTATAGTCTACAGGATGTGAACCAGTGGCAACTTATGTACAAAATTTAAAGGGTGCCCCGGAGATGCAGCACTTTCAGTGCAATATATTCAGCAAAAAAATCAGAGTAAATGTATCAGAGGATTCTTTAATATTTTTTGAACTTTTTTTTTTTAAGGGTACTCTTAATTGGTGTTAATTATTATGTAGCTGTGTTCTCTCCACGTGCAAGGCTGCACTATCATGATCAGAATTCAGGCTCATTGCAGTCTGTCCAGATCAGAAATCCAGAAGTTTGGGCTCCGAATTCTAAGGCTTGAGGTGTTGAATCACAGAGTTAATTGAGGTCCTCAAAGAAACCCTCCGAGGTATTTGGCATAGGTGTGTGCACTCCCTGCATTGTGGGAATGTGGTATGCATCCTTGCCTGTGTGGAGGTGCCCATTATTGCAAAGCTGCATCTTAAGAGAAATAAAAACTTATTACTGTGTTAGAGTAATTAGTGAGAGTGCACATTTCCTGTTCCCATACCAGCCATGTCCCACACCTATCAGGCTTGATTCTCTCCTTTTATTAATCAGTGAAGTGGTTCAATCTCAATTTCCCTTTCAGAAACTCCTGCTTCCCATCTTATTTACAGCTCTCTTCATAATTTTGTGGTGTTCCCAATTCTTGTTCTTCTTCCATCCTCTGTAAAGCAAAAGAAAATGTTTCCTTGGGTTCTCCTGCATTCCTCCTTGACTATGAGTAGTGGCTCATTTACCCAGAGGACGGCAATCTGTGCCTAACCCAGCTGTGGGGCAAAACTCTGGGGAAAAAAAGGAGTATTTGCTTGCAAGCTTAAAACTGATATAAAAAAAATACATCTGAACAATTGGCACCAACATTCAGGATAGCAGTATGAAGTATATCTCTTTTGTGAACTTAGTTTGTTTGGATTTTGCTTTTTTTTAACCACTAAGGCTTTGTACGGCCCTCCTTGTTCACCCTCCTTGTTCACCCTCATTAGAGTGAATAATTCCTAGTTGAAATCCCATTCTGTCTACCCAGCAGTGCTCTTCAGCATCCGGATAGCTTTCCCAGGTTTACCATTTGTGTTCTTTCCTAGCAAGAACAAGCAAAACTTGTTCTACCTGTGCTCTTTCTGCAGCTTATTTCTAAGAATACTGATACTCATAAGAAGCTTCCAGACATTCTTGTCCAACATACATGGTTACTTACTTTTTATCAGTGTAACTTTAACTACGAGAAAGCTATTTTTTATCTGAATTTAGCATAACAATGAAGAGCAATGAGATCAATTTAATTTTTGATCCAGGTACCAAATATCTTGTCTGGTGAGTTGAGAAGGGTGTGCAGATTCAAGCCAAATGTGGATAGCAGAAGGTGGCCTTGAAATGGCTGCCCTCTGCAGTTACTCTTTGAAGCATTTTCATTTGTACTGGACTTGCCACGAGGCCACGTTTTAACTTTGCCTTACATGACATACATAGGAGCCTCCACTGTGTCAGTTCTATTTTTAAAAAGTCAAACAAAAATACTCTAAAGCAGAATTCCTCCAAACAAAAGTAAGTTTAATGACTGTAGTAACTAAGATTAGTGCCCTGTTACAGATGTGCTGCATTGCTTCTTCTGCCTTCAATGCGCAAATTAGATAAATAAATTATTCTCTATTTTAAAGAGTGTGAATTGCCATGGGCACTGCAAGTACAGATAAAAGTTGCTGTGTAGTGGAAACTACATGTAACCAGATAGGATCTTATATCTTTCTGCTGAAAGAACTGCTGTCAGTAACTGTATGAAATGTTTTTAGGAAATTGAAAACTTGCTTATTTTACTGTGCCTTAGTGTGTTTGTTACAGCTTAGTGGCACCTTCAGAAGTCCCTTCTAGCAGTGTGAATGGATATGTTGTGTTTGTAGGATTATTTTGTTTGAGAAATTTAGGAATCTCATAGAATATTAGGCTGCCTAATAAAATAGCAAAACCAGAGAATGACACACACCCTTAGACTCTCTCATTTTTTTAAAATCCATATTGGCCTTATTAGTGTGATAAGTTACAAAATATGCTGAGAAGTAGGAAGAGACTATAGACCAAGCAGCATGTGCTGGTGGTGCTGGGCACTCTTTGGGCCACCCACTAGCCCTGTCTGCTCACACATTATGTTAATTGGGGCACATTTTTTGCCTAGTCCACTTACGACTATGTGTGACTTAGTAAATGCACTAGCACAGCATAGCAGTGAGAGAGGAACTATGTTTTTATTCTAAGAAGTTGTGGAGTGTTTTTTTAATATTAACTTTTACCTTCTAAGAATAACTTAGGTTAGTTCTGCTCTGTCCTTTTAGTATCCCTCATACAATGAGGTTTTTCTCTTTATAACATAAAAAGACTATGTTGATACTGTGTATATAAGATGTTGGTACTGTTTGGCAGCACTTCTACAGTAAAGTTTCATAAGCTTTTCCTTCTTGCAGGGCTTACTTGGAGTCTGATGTAGCTGTGTCTGAAGAGCTTATTCAGAAATACAGTAATGTTGTGCTTGGTCATGTTAATGGCACAGTCAAAGAGCTGAGACGTCTCTTCCTAGTGGATGACTTAGTTGATTCTCTGAAGGTAAGTTTACTTCAACTGAAGGTACTGCAGCCTTGTGTAAATACTTCCTTGCTGACCTGGCTGAGCAGAGCCTGCTAGTCCTTGTAAACATGAATGAGCAACGGCATCTTTGGCTCAGTAGAAGAAAAAATGAGGTTTAGTTTGCTTGTTGGAAGTAAAATGCCTTTTTTTTTTTTTTTTCTTTTTACCCCCAGAAGTATAGCTTTTTACAGTATACTAAAAATGAATGGAAAACTGAAATAAGCTCTGGTTGCATATGCAGTTCAGTTGTTGCACGTTCTTGCTGGTGCTTAACAGCAGAAATCTTTTAAGCAAACAAGACACTGGGCATTTAGAGTTTGTCACTGACATACATCTCTCCCTCTTGAAAGATGCTGTGGTTTGGGCTAGACTAGCACAGTCTGGTTTGGTTTTGTTTTTCTGTTTGTTTCTGTACTGAGGGTAGTGAGGGGGGAGGGTTAGTGTCCAGTTACTCTCCTTAAACAGCAGGAGTTCTATGTCCACTTTTTTTGCTGGAAGAGTGGGGACCGAGTGATGCCTGTGTGTTACCAGGAAGGTGGAGACTTCTTTCAGTCTCCGGACTTGGGCATGAATAGTTGCTTCTTTTAGTGATGCAAATAACTAAAATGGATTTTGCAAGTTACTCTACCTCAGGTGTGCAGTACTGCCTAACAAATACTTTGAATATGTCCAAGTAGTGTTTAATGGGGCTGATTGAAGGTGGCAGAGTAAAACTGTTGGTGAAGAATTAATAATTTAAAAAATTAAAGAAACAAAGAATTGGCTGAAAAGCCTTCAGTTTTGTTCTGTAAGAATTCCCTCCTTTCATGCTAATCGTGTTCTTTCATTTTTCAAACAACTGTTTCCTTTGGTGAGTACAACATGCCGTCCATTTCTTTTTCAGTTTGCTTAATCTTCTTGAAAATAAAGTTGCATTTATCCTCCAGTAAATCCCTTCCTTAGTGCTTTGTAAAGCCCTTGGAGTTGTTGGGGGAAGGGGTTTCTAGTGAAACCTGGAGAACAAAAGGAAGGCTGTAAAAGTCTTTGTTATATTTGTGCAGTAGAAATCAGAGGCAAATCTCTGGATAATACCCAGAGCTTCTGGATCCAGTTTCTCATTATACTCCAACTTAAACAGAGTTTGTGCTGTAGAGTTGCACTTAATGCTGTGCAAGTCTCTTGCATTAAAGGAAAGATTGTAAGGCTGTTGGGTCGTTACTTGGGGTCTGCTGCCTGTGGTAGAGGCTCATTTTTTCAGAAGAGAAAGAGGAGAAGGGATATTTGCCTGGGGTTTTGTGTAATCATCTTAATGCTCCTAAAGGGTTGTGCAGTGAAAGTACTTTTATGAGGTGACTGAATTTTCTGGTCATTTTTCTGGACATGATTTGGTACTGCTGCAAAAATTTTATGGCAGAATAGCTAAAATAAGGCTGTTATGTTCTGTGCCTTGCCAGTGTTTCTACTCAGGGATTAGATTTTGATGGCTAAATCCTCACCGTTGCCTGTCCGTCTGGTCTGCAAGAAGCTGTGCCTCACTTTCATGCTGAGGTGACTGAATACTTGGGATTCATCTCTGCAGCATCTCGAGGCCACAGCCCGGACCAAAAGAATTACTGTTACGCAGCTGGAATTACATTTTGATAACTTAAACTTGGTGTGCGAGGGAGGAAAGGAACATCTTCTTTGTTTACTGTGGGTTTTTAAGGGCATTGAAATTAACTTTTCTTTGAACTTCAGTGAACTTTGTCTAAGTTGTGTTTAGTTCTTATCAAACAATATCACAGAAAAACTTGCAGTCACAAGGTCACTTGTATTTCTTTAATAATTAAGCCCTTTGTGGTATGTTCCTCCATCTGAATTACAAGAATTTCCATGCCATTTGTTTAGAGATCACAATCCCTTGCAGTAAAGGAAGAGGAAGGAGTGAACAGCCAGCTGCTGTTTCAGTTAACACTGCTTTAAAAATAAGACCTTTTAGAGGAGTTATGTTAGAAGTAGAATTAATTCCAGTCCGAGTGTCTTCAAGGGACTCTAATCACTTAAAATGCTATGGTGATAGGAAAGACTATGGGAAAGACATGTTTATTCAGCTGAGCTAATTTGTTTCCCCTCTCCTTTTCTGACATCTAAAACATTTTATGTAGGTTAATTAGCCTAATTTATGGTAGTTGGGAGCAACCCTCATATGAAACCAGTGAATGTCAGGACAGTTCACCAGCACAAGTTAACTGATTCTGAAGAGTCCGTGCCTGAGGAGAACATTAAGGTTCTGGGGTGTTATGTAATGTAACAGCCCTAGTTTAAAAAAAATAAAAATAACTTGGCTCATGTAGTTTAAACATCTTGGCTATAGGAAACAGCACGTTTGTGTATAATTAAAGTTTCAGAGCTTTGATTTACAAAACATCTGCAGATCAGTTTATTGTGTGTAATAGTTCTGGCTGTAAAACCTGTCTTGTTAACTTTTTTTTTTTTTTTTAAATGATGCCTCTGTCAGGGAAGTCTTAAAAAGGACTGATTATTTATGCAGGACAAGACAAAGTTCCTCATGGTTCTTAAGGAGCAATTCCACAGCAGCCTTTTCCAGAGTCCCAGGAGAAAAAAAACTGCCCTTTGTCTTGACACGCAGCAATGGAGCGCGTCACCCCCAGCTGCACAGCAGTGGCTGCTCTGCTGGGACACGGTTGCTTTCACTTGGTCTTTGCTCAGCTGATGTTTTGAGAAATGGAGCTCTGTGCTGTGTTTGAGCTGGTTTATAGTCAAGAAATTGATGGATGGGCATTTTTGGATTTGCCATTAAATTGCAGTATGCTTTGGGTACCAGGGAGTCATTTAATCATTGGAATGAGGTAGGCAAAAACCCACTTCAGTCCATCAGATATACTGAGTTTTTTGCTGCTTTACATGTTGTAATGTTCAGGCTGAGTTAGGACTGTGCACTTTCCTTCTCTCCTGTCCTCAGTGTGTGGAGTATTATCTTGGTAAGCCAGTGCTGGGCTGCATTCTGCATTCATTTTTTTGTTTCAAAGCTGTGAGTGTTTAGAGAGGTACACCGTTTGTATTTGTAAGGCTCTCTGAGTTTGTCTCATTTCTAAAGAAAAAAAATAGACACCAATACAAAATAGATACCAATGTGGGATTGAGATAAACTCCCCTAAATGCCATGAGTCGTCTTCTTACTGTTAGAAGTGTATGAAGGAGTTCTGGAGGGGGGTTCTGAGATTTTTGCTGAATGTAACTTGCTTTGGCAGCCCCAGTTTTTGTGATGACTGTCCCTTACTGACATCGCAGAGAGTGGTGTGCTCCTGCTGGGCTCTGTGGTTTCTGAGAGGGAGGGAGACCTCCTGGCATGAATACATAAAGTGGATAAAAACTGCACATGCAACACAGTTTGTCATTAGACCCTGGATAAAAACTGCACATGCAACACAGTTTGTCATTAGACCCTGATGTTCCTCTGGATGGACTTTGGGAGAAGCAATGCCTGTGTCAGCCTGTTAACTCCTGGATTTTGATCTTTCTTGGGCCATAAATTCAATCCTTAGTAAATGGGATTGGATAGTTCTGGTAGTTGTTGGACTTTGGGATTGATTGCTCTCTGTTAGCCTTCTGCCTACATAAACTCACATTTTCTGACTTTGCCATAGTCTGCAGCAATATTACCGAATGTCCACCTGACCAGGGTGGTGCTTAGCTTGGGGAGTGGTGTTCATGCAGAGGAGATCTTGGGTAGGTGTCATGGTGCTGTGCTGTGTGGGCTTGAATGCACCGCCTGCGAGAGGGTTGTTCTGAATGGTGGCAAACCCAGGGGCTTCTTGCTGTAGTACCAGTGTTGACTTTCCTCCCTGTGCTGGGGGGGGATGTGCTGCATGCACAGACTTGCTCTGAAAGGAAAGTATTTGCTCTGTTAAAATGTCTTGTGTAAAGAGGCTGGCAGCCAGCTCTCACCCTGGCACTGCGGAGAGCAGAACTGGGCCAAGGTTTGAATGAATCATGAGGGAGTTTAGAGAAATCTGCTTTATTTTTCTTGATCAACCTGCCAAAATCCTTTAGTGGGAATGCAGTTGATGGTAACATTGCAGCCTTGTCTGAGGTTCAGTTTGTGCCTCTGCTGCTGCTTGCATCACATCTAGAAAGGACTGACAGATAAAGAACTGCATCATTGGCAGTTCATCCTACTGCATTTTGAATGGGATCAGCTCTGAATGAAGCTCTTGAGGTAAACTCCATGTCATTAACTGGGTCATGCAATTAAACTTGCATTGGCTGTCATCCCCATTTCTTACTGTTGGCTGTTAATTTTGTTCAGTTTGCATATTTTCATCTTAGGATAAGCAAAAAAAAATAAATGTTTGGATATAGAACTTCTGAGTAACCATGCTGCAGGCTAGATCCTTACCCATACCCACAGTCCTCCGATGTGTTTTTTTTCTTTCCAGTGCTTTGTACCAGTTTTTTCCTCGTGTGTATCTCCTGCTTATCAGAGTGCTTCACCTTGGACTGCTGACTGTGCCCAGATCTTCTCTCCCTGGTGCCAGCAGCAGCCTCCCCACCATGTCTGTCAAGCTTGTCAGTGTTTCACAGTGTCTTGCACAGAAAATAACCCATTGATTAAAGGGCTGGGGAGGGGGGTCTCATTTGTGTGCTCTGCACAATGTGAAGTTAATTCAGTGCGTAACAAGAAATAAGCACCAGTAAATCCACTATATCTTGACACCCAGATCCTGGCTTCTGCTCAGTCCCTTATGGGCTGTGCAACACTAGAAGAAATGGGTTGATTTTCCTTGGGGAGGAATCCTACACAGAAATAGACCTGGCAGCCTTCAGCCCCCTCCTGGCCCAGCATAGGTCAGAGGTGTGTTTGGGACACTCTCCACCTGGCGGAAAGCTGAGGGGCTTGAACTTGTGCTGATCTTTCTACAGAGCTAGTAGAGCAGAGGGAGAGCCTGTGCAAGGGCAGTCAGCAGGGTGGCAGTGAGGGAGGAACAGTGCCTGGGTATGAGTTAGGGGCTGGGATACTCAGCCAGAAATTACAGCAGTGGGAGGGTGTAGGTGTCTGTCCGCAGAAGGATGTCTTTGCCTTTTGAATTTGTCTCTGACTTAGAGTCAGCCTCCATTTTGTTTGGAATTAGGTGATCTTTAAGGTCCCTTCCAACCCAAACCATTTTATGATTGTATGGTGCTGTTGACTCCTCTCTTCATTTAATTTTTTAGCATCCAAAGCTTCTATTTTATTTTTATTTTTTTTTTTAGGGAAAAAGTCAATCAAGCCAACCTTGCCATGTTGCTTTCCAGACAGGTTTTTTTCCCCATGGTGTGGCAGGCACCTCTACTTGGTCTGGTCAGCAGTTCATTGAGACCTTTGCTGAGCTGAGCTGCGATAGTTCGGTGCGACCATTGGCGCTGCAGCCCTGGAGTGGCCATGCTCCTGCGTTGGCTGCTGAGCTGCCATGCCAGGGGATGCCCTGCCTGCTTCTTCCTGGCTCTACCACCCAGTGCCGTGTCAGATGCCAGCCCTTTAACCTCTCCCGTGCCTGTCTTGTTCCGTGTCTCTGAAGGGTGGGAGGTAGGAATCGCGTTTGCCTGTCACTACAGAACGTGGAGCTGGAAGAGCTGTATAAATCAGAGGTCATTGAGCAGCCACCGGGCACTGACAGCCTGTGGTCACTGCTGACTTGGGCTGGATTCAGCCCCATGACCTACAGGCAAGAGGCCACATATCCATTACTAAATCCTTCAGCCATCTTGTCACTCATCTGTAATTACATAAGACGTACAAAGGTGAAAGTGGAGTTTGGGGCATTTTAGTTTCATTTGTTAGAGAAGTTCTCTCTCTGCTCTAACTAGTGTGGTCTGGTAAGACAGACTGTGTGCTGACATGGTGGTTTTTTTTTCCTTTTCAGTTTGCAGTGTTGATGTGGGTGTTCACTTACGTTGGTGCCTTGTTTAATGGTCTGACATTACTGATTCTGGGTAAGTGCTTTAAATAGTGTGAAATACCTGGCATACAAAATAACCCTGGAAAAGCACTGAACTCGGCTCGATACTGTGAGGCTATTCCGGTGTTCTCGAGAGTGTAGCAAGATGTTACAGTTGTGTGTCCTTTTTCTAGGACATTGATAACACTGCAGAACAGATAATTTTCATTGCGCTGTTGAATTCCTCAAGATTGCTGCTTTAACAGACATTGTATAATTTTAAAAGCCTGTTTTGTTGTGCTTGTTCCTGTCAGGGGTAGCCTTACTGCAATGTCATTGCTGTACAAAACTGGCTCTGGCCCTGTCCACTGCAGGTACTTTTGTTTCTGGTATCCCAGAGCAGGCTGGCTGTCAGAAACCAGCTTGAGGCTGGCAGAAGCCTGAGCATCATTTTGAAGAATTTGCATAACCCACAGTGAAAAAGTGAACTGTGACCAGACAATACTGTTAATGAGACCTGGAGAACAGCCCATCTTCTCCTTAATAGGGATTATTTAAATTACTGGCCAATGATCATTACATATGGCTGAGTTATTTCTTTTTCTTGTACCTTTTTAAAATAATTGTCAAGGTGTAGAAATTAGTCTTTGGTTTACCTGAACACCATCCCTTTTGTCAACACCTTTGATGTGCTCTTTTCCAGCTTTGATTTCGCTTTTCAGTGTTCCTGTTATTTATGAGAGACATCAGGTGAGTCTTTAATACGATTTGTTAAATGCGTTATAAAATTAGCTCCATTGAAGCAAAGCCACAAGCAAATAAAGCCAAAATTCATTTCAGTCTTCTAAAATCTTTAAAGCCTGTAGTAGATAGGCGTTCAACCAGGAGTCAGTGCCAGGGCCAAGAGGAGCGAGTTCCCTTGGGAGCTGAGGCTGTGTGTGCTTTTCCCTCCTCCTCTTTGGTGGAAATCTGGGGCAGTTTCCCCCGCACACAGTTCCCAAAAAGGCCTGACTTAACCTGGGAGCCTTCTGTCCTGGTCCTCATTTGGTCAGGACTAAAGCAACAGTAGGCACAGTGCGTTAATCCTGATATAAATACTTCTAAAACAATTTCTGAAGAAACCGCTTTGGAGCTGACATTAAGGATCTGTGTCGTGAAGCCTTGCAGAATTTGTAGCCCTGGCAAAAACAGGAGATGGGAGACACTCAGCATAGTCCAGTGATGTGAAAGAAGGAAGTAAGAAGGAGCAAAAAGAAACACATATGGTGAAATTATAGTAGAGTCTAGAGGACTGTCTTCAGCAGGTCATAGCACAGGAGGGGGAAGCCAGATCTGGCTTAGCAGTCCCTTCTCCTCTTTCAAAAACAACTCTTCTCATGGCGGCCAGTGAGGGACTTGGGAAGGGAGAAGGAAAGGCATGGAGCAGATGGCGGAGCCTCTGGGCTGCTTTCTGAGCTCCTAGGACAGAACACAGTGCTCTGCAGCAAAAGGAAATCCTGTGGCCCTGAGGAATGATGGACAATTCATGTGGCTTAACCCGGGCATCTCAATCCGCTTGAGGAGCTGCAGGCTGCTCTCGGAAGGCATAAGCTGTTTAACAGCCCAGCCCACCTAAGCTGCTTTCCTCTTGCCTGGAGGAGACAGGGGAGCTGAGGGCCCTGGTGGTGTACCCTCACGTTGGGGTGGCTTTGAGAAGAAGCAGGGGAAGATGCAGAAGCCTGGGATGAATTTATTTGGGTACTTACCCACCGTTCCCGGAAGCAAACACTTGCATGGGCTGTGGCTGAAGCTGTAGGAGGTCCCGCACCAAACTGGGAAATTGTCTTTGTGGGGCACATGTCTTGGTACACTGGCACTCTGCCTTGGGGCAGCAAGGCCACTCTTGGTCAGGGGAGCTCTGTAACATCTTTCATCTTCCCTTTCAGGCCCAAATTGACCATTATTTGGGACTTGTGAACAAGAATGTCACAGATGCAATGGCCAAGTGAGTGGGATTTTTTTTTTTTGTTGATTTTGCTTTTTAAATAATGTTTATAGTTCTTGATATGGGCTACTCCTGTATGTAACACATGCATTACATGCACTAGTCCTGTTGGGGAAAGTGTTTTAAGTTTGGAATGGCTATGAAATCAGCGCCTTTCTTGCTGATGCTGTTGCTCCATTGTATTGTAGGCATATGTATTTTGAGGACATGGTTTAGTGGTGGACTGGGCAGTGCTAGGTCAACAGTTGGACTTGATGTGTGTAGAGGTCTTTTCCAACCCGAACAATCTATGATTATTATGTGTATGATATTATAGTAATGATATTCTATTACCTTATTATATATTGTGTATCATGTCAAATTATACTGCAGCTATATTGTATGTATATTATAGCTATGTCTGTATTATGATCGATGTTACATCTGTATCATTGTGTACTATATTACTTCTAAAAGAAATCTCTATGTGAAGCCTGAGTCCCCAGTTGCAGCTGGGGGGGGAGGGGGGGTAAATGAAGAGGAATTTAGCAGTTTTGTCTGTTTCTGAATGTAGCAGCTTTGAGTTGCCCTGACAATTATTTTTACATGTTGCTGTTTTTAAGACTCTGTTTACATCTGTTTTTCTTTGTTCCTTACTCAAATGCTGTTCCTTTTCCTCTCCTCTTCCTCTTGCAGGATCCAAGCAAAGATCCCTGGGTTGAAGCGCAAAACTGAGTAAAAAGCCTGAAGCAACTGATGGATAGGAAGTTCGTCTTTTAAGGGGGAAAAAAATACTCATTTAGATTTACATGGGGAGGGTCAGGGAATAGCAAAACCCTTGACATTGCAGTGCAATTTCACAGATCTTTATTTTTTAGCAACGCAGTGTTTGAGGAAAAATAACTGTTCTGACTGCCATGTGTTTCATCATCTTAAGTATTGTAAGCTGCTATGTATGGATCTAAAACTAATCATCTTTCTTTATCCTGTGTGCAGCACTGGCTAATAAAAAAGATTTGAGAAAGCTGTACATTTTGCTTCACCAGAGGTAGTCCCTGCTGCGTTCCAGAAGAGGTGTAGTGCAGGTGGAGTGGAGGAGAACACTTCCCAGTTTGTGCACTGTGTATGGTCTGTGTAGATTGATGCAGATTTTCTAAAATGAGATGTTTTAGAAGAATATACCATTTTAGCAAGTTTTGAAAAATCTTGCCTTTTTGGTATGAGTATAGCTGTATTGTGATTTTATTGTTTTATCAATTGCCAATATATATATATATATGTGTTTCACAAAGCTTAGATCTTTCAGCTGCTCCACAGTGCTTCATACTTCAGAGAATTGACTGAGTTCTGGACTAGCTCCATAGCACACAAGCTTGAAAAACTAAACTGTCTCAAACACTAGCATCTCTTTAAAAAAACCAAAACCCACAACAAACAAAAGAGAAAAGAACAAAGGAACATTCATGTATATTAAAATTACAGCATACACTTTGTTGCACAAACGTACAGTAGCTGATTCTGAGCAAATAATTCTACAGTCTCTCAAACTCTGATAATCTGTGGACCGAATATCTAATGCTGCAAATGTTGTTTGGAAACTTAAACATTGTTATGCAAGGAATGATGAATGAAAATTTATACACTTGCAGTTTAAGCTGTATTGAACTAAGTCTGTGGAATGCATTGTGAAATGTAAAGAAACCCAACAAAATACCAACAAAAAAGCAAAAAAAAAAACCCAAACAAAACCCCAAGTATCAATAAAGCTTATAGACATAAAATAATATCGCTATTTTGCTTTCTTGAGGCAAGTTTAATATATTTGTGTTTATTTTAAGTTCCTTGTGATTAAATATCCAATGTGTATGGTGGTGGAAATAGTTTGTCAGCCGTTTAGCGATGTGAGTAGGTGGATGTTCATGATACCTTTTCTTGCCATGTGTGCAGTGTGAAGCAGTTTGTTCAGTGCCAGGGTCAAATCTGTCCCAAAGGGCCACCTCAGCTGGTGATGCTCAGTTCAGTGTGTTGTCCCCTGCCTGCTGCTTGACATGGGGCCACTCTACATTTTGTGAGTTGGTTATTGAAAACTGTGACAGGTGAAAGTTTAGATTCTTCTAAACCAAGTGAAGATATCCTTGGTTTCTTTTATTTTTTTCAGATGGTAATGTTTGATGCCATATTCTAGCTTGAAAGAAATTGTAAGGTGAGTCCCAATAATCTTTCCAGGGCAACTTGTTGAATCTGATTTAAGAGCTGGACATTGAAAACTTGTATCCAAATTTATTTGAGACACAGAGTTTAAATTACCAGCATCTTGACCATTGAAAAATAAATTCATGCACTAATATTTTAGTTTACAGTATAATATACATAATTACTTCAGGATGTTTTATACATAAAGCCAGACCATATAAACATAGAAATTTTAAGTGTTTTCCTGACAGACACTATTGCTTTAAGATATTGTTCACATGACCATTTATTAATTCATTCTGCCACACAACTGGTTTTATTTGGGATACAATCAGTGTGAAAGGAAGGCAAACATTACAACATAGGCAAAGAAGGTGCTTACTGACATCACCACCTAACATGATTACATTATTTGAGCAAGAAGGTTTCTTTAAAAAAAAAAAAGACTGCATAGGGACTCTTACTCTGTATCTGACAAACTGATCTTCTGTATAGTAATATAAGGCATTAATAAATTCAATTTAAAAAAAGGTGATTCTTTGAGGTTGCTGAATGTACATTGATCCACTCCTTTAACTGGATATTCCTTGCATCCAACAGCTACCTTTTTTATGCAGTGGGCATCAGAAGTGGATTGACAGGAAGTTTCCACAGTTCAAAATTACATTTTCCTGAACTGGGACTAAAGCACTATTTTACATTTCTTTTTAAAGACTAAAAGTAAGTCAACAAACAGTCTTTTCAAAAGAAAGGTAATTCCAAAATATAAGTGATCTTCCATGTCAGACAGGTAAAAAATAATTTGTTTTGTGATTGCCCACATTGTTCTGTTCTTAAGCAGTTTCATTGGAAAAAGTTAAACTTACTTTACTTTCTCCAGTTCCACCATCCCTGCAGTTTTTGGTTTTGACAGGGTGTTTGTTAACAAATGTAGAACAGCTTTACTGTTTTACCTGCTCGTGGTCTCCATGTCCACATGGAGGCAACTCTCATCTCTTCTGCCCCCCCTCCCACCTCAGGATCCCACAGCCCAGAAACAGGCCAGGGGCTGCATGAAGGGCAATGACAGGGAGAGGAGTTCAAAGTTAGCAAAGATGATGCTTTTCTAGAGTATAGCTAAATTTTCTGGTGTCAGAGTTCATTTATTTTTCCACTGTTAAGCACTGTGGTACTAGCTGCCTGCTGGAGGGTACACACAGTCCCTGCTAGTGCTGTACCAGCCATTCCCTAGAGATCACTTTGGCTGTCTGCAGGAAGCTCCTCCAGAATGAGAAGAAGGGAATGAATGATCCTTGGAGGCTTTCAGACCACTTCTTACAATACACTAGACGGCCACTGCCTGTGCTAGTAGTTACCTCTAAAGCACATTTTCCCACACCCAGGGAGTGTAGGAACACTTGGGAAACAAGTTCCACATTATTTGTGTTAACATGTCTTTAACCAAGTCTTTCCATCCTCTCTCTTCCTCCCTCTACTCAACGTTTTGAGTTAAGCTTCAGATTCTGGCTGCAGTCAAGCTACCAGTGGTGAACAGCTTACCAAGAGGGGTAATGCCATCAGGAGTTTGTCCTTGCAACAGCACGTAGCTTCTTGCTTGGAAACATTTTTGGAATTAACTTGTGAAGGTATTAAAAAAAAACCAAAACAAGCAGAAAACAGGGAGAATGTAAGTACACAGCTGGAAAAGGTGTTAATGGGTAGCCCTCCTCTGTGTGAAAGTTATAGCACCGTATGTTGAAAGCAACGGGTGGGAGGCAAGACTGTAGCCCATACTACTGGAAAATTATTCAAAGGCACTTCATGGATAGAAATTTTTGCCAAATATATCTATTTGAGAAATAAAATAAACTTAAAAAATGATAGTTTGCTCCTTTGATTACTGAAAGCTGAAGTATGAACCACAGCATGCTCATTAAAAGCTTGCAGTTTTACTCAGTGCATTGAATTGGAGTTTTAAGTGGGTGTGGTTAAAAAACCCCCACCAACTTTCAACGAACAAATGTTCAAGCCATAAATTTGGAAATCAGGCAAATCAAAGGGCCCAGCGTTTTCTCAGTGTGCTTCCCTTTCAGACAGGGTTTGAGTAACACAGTATTAGGCAAAAGCAGCTTCATGAGTGAACTGTTTGTCACTTTGGCCTACCCAAGTTACAGAAGTGTTCGCTTTCAAATTTCAGCTTCCTTTTCAAGGATATTGGTCTCCAAGATTACATTCACATTCAGTCAGTTTGCATGAGTAGTCTGACAGTGTGCAATCCGTGCAGCATCAGGTGGAAGTTACAGCAGCCAAAGGGATAGAGGCATTCATGGCTGTCCAGTCCAGAGCAGTCATTTGGTGGTGGCAGTAACAGCAGCAAGAGGACTCTCCTTTCAAAGACATCGCCACACAAATACACTGCAAAGAAATGAAATTGAGAGCATAATTAGTTTTCTGAGTAACTTTATGACAACCATCAGCATATACTGAGAGACAGGCAGCGTTAAGTACATAAACGGCTCTTAAGTGTAGATGGTAGATGTACCAGCAAGATACAAGGTAAAGCAATGTGAGGTGGATGCAGCCTGTGTTCCCATGCAGAACCCTGTGTAAGTTCAACAGCTCATCTTGTACAGTCAGTACAGGGTGTCGCACAAGCCCCAGGTACCAACAGTGGATGCTGCAGGCTCACTGAGGGGAGCCCCCCCATCTGTTGTGTTCTGCCTCTGGAAGAGACAGGCTCTTTCATTGGCATAAATTACTCAGTCTTGCAGTCTCTGGCTTGTATTTTTCCTGCTGAGTAAGCAGTTACAAATACCTGGTTCTTGAATGTGCCTTCCTGATAGTTGCTCCTCTGGCAGGTTGAGCCCTTTCATTTCCTACCTTGTTCCTTTTCAGTTTTTTCATTCTGCATTTTGCTTCTCAAAAAGTCTCTTAGTATTTTGTGTTTAACCATGGTTAGTTTTTGTTCCTCACCCTTATGCTCCCTGTTTGATGGTCATGTCCTCTCTGAGCTGTACAGGGAGCTAAAATAGACTTGGGGAGTGGGGATAGAAGGAGATCCAGCAGGAGTCACGTGTGCGTGTGTGTACACACACATACTGGCTGCTTAGTTAATTTTGTTTTTAGGGGAAAAAAAACCTAAAAAAACACCCCAACAAAAACTTAAGGCACCTTTCAAGAAGGCTCCTGTTATTTAAAGTGTCTTTCTAAATCTGTCTATCCTCTATCCAGCCAGAATTCCTGCCCTACCCTTTGCGGGGCAGGAGCTATTCAGTTATTTTTGTGTGACTGACACCCCTACCAGCTGTCTTTATCTGAGCTAAATGTTCTTCAGCCACACAAGGGGTTCCTGTGCCAGCAGCTGGGGCTCCTTCAGCTGCCTTTTGGTGCCCCAAGTCACTGCTGGCCCATGCAGCAGCAGTTAGGTCTGCCCTCTCCCAGAGAGGAAGGCAAGCCAAGGAGCTACAAGCTGTGGGTTTGGTGTTGAGGGATACACACACCACTTTTGATCACTGTAAAAATAACTAAGTGGTTTACCTGCAGTCATCTCCCCCAGTGCTGATAACGTACTTGTCATCGTGAGAGAAGCGTATGTTGGTGACATGTGCCGAGTGCCCAAAATACCGCTTGTGTTTGGCCTGTTGGAGAAAGGACAGCAGTTCAGGAATTGGTGCCACTGCCGAGGAACAAAGCTGCCTTGTGAGTGGGGACAAAATCCCATCACCTCTAGTACAGGTGTCCTCCAACCCAGAGCAATCCCAGCATGGCACCTGATTCAGTGCGTTGTGTCCTTGCTGGATGGCAGCTACGCTATCACCCCTGGGGACAACTGGGTCCTGCAGCTACCACTGGCTGGGAGCAGCCTGGAGATGACTTGTCAGGCCACACTGTGGATGCCTTAAAATCGTAATGCTAAGGAGCTGGAACATGGGGAAAAGCAAGCTGTTTAGATTAAAATAAAAGAGCTACTTACAAATTTTTCTGTGCATGGGAAATCAAACAGTTTCACCAGGCCAAAGTCATCTCCTGTGACTATATTTAGGCCAGCATGGGTCACACATGCACAATTGACATCTGCTTTATCTGCATTTCGTGGCCAAATTCCAATGACTTCGTCTCCAAGAATGCTGTTCCAAAACCAAGTTAAAACAAAGAGCATTAGGTCATAATACATACTCACCACTGTTCTCTTCCACAGCATGGAGAAGCAACACAGTCCAGTAATAAAAAATTAGAACCTTTAAAATACGGTATTTTCCCTTTAAATTATTGCACTGAATGCAATCTTATAATGGAGAACATGACAGGAATGCATCTTTTTTGTATGACTCAACCCATCTCTAAGACCTGAGGTTTCTCTTCTGTGAAACCATTTGCATCATTTTGCAGAGGCAGCTTGTGCAGCAATCGTCTCCTCACAGACATATGTGTCCCTTCCCACTGTGATTTTTGACAGCAATGTTCTCTTGTCTTGGCCATAAGCTCTTGAATGAGGGAATGCTTATTTGGATGTACGGTAGTTCCT